GAGAGAGAGAGAGAGAGAGAGAGAGAGAGAGAGAGAGGGAGAGAGAGGGAGAAAGAGAGGGAGGGAGGGAGAGGGAGGGAGAGAGAGAGAGAGAGAGAGAGAGAGAGAGAGAGAGACACGCAACACTGTGGAATACTGATTGTTAAATTAGATGGGCTATTTATAACCTATAATCTATACATACAAATAGATTTATCATCTGTCAATTAGCACGCGTGTACTGACTTATTTACGAGAGTAAAAACAGGGTCGATCCGTTATCTTTTTACCTAACCCGCCTAACCCACTGGAAGACTGTATTCGAATTTACATTCATGCCCTAATCTAGCCAAAGGGACATTTATAAAAAACAGGAAATATCGGTATGCTATAGTTACAAATTTATCTACCTGTAGATAACTGTTTGCAACTTTTTTTTTTTCAAAAAAAAAAAAAAAAAAAAGGCTACAATTTTGTTAAAGTGACATAACTATGCACATTTCAGTCTTGAAAGGTTAAACACGGAAATTGAAATAGAAATTTGCTTTCCATTAAATTTTTATTTCAATGTTATTATTTAGCCTACTTATTTTTATTTACTTATTATAAGGCCTATTATTTATTGATTTTTTTCATTTTATTTTTATTTTTAGCTCTGTGTCTTCTTTTACGTATCGGTTGTTTTATTTATATATGCAGCTTTTTTTTAGAATCCAAGTCATGTATTTCAGGTCATCTTTTTTTTTTATATATATATATATATATATATATATATATATATATATATATATATACATTTTCAAAGCAAATTCCTCTGGCCTGGGAAGTGCGGTGACCTTAGGATCACATTCAGTGTATTTGACCTAGTTTTTGAGGTATCCAATCAAAATCACTTCCGGTGTGGTGATAAACAGCAAAACTGAAAGTGTTTCACATAGTTAAGTTTTATGCGGTTTTCCCGTGAAGTTTAGTCATGTCAGTGAGTACCACTTTGTTCAGTAGACAGCACGTGTGTTTATAACACAGAGGGATGGTCCCACCGATATCTGAAATAAGCAATTTTGCAGTTGTTGAAGGTTACAGAGTGCCTTTCGCCTTGAATGTGTCAATCACTCAATGTCAGCACGTTTACCGGTGCACGGGCGAGGAAGACAACCATCGTTGTTACATGTAACTTAAATAGTCGGCACCAAGTCCTGCACATCGTCTGGTTAGTCAGGGTACGGTCATTCCGAACTGGCGTCTTGTGATATTTTAAAACTCCAGACGTGCACCTTAGACCTAGTGTACTACAAGGGCTTGATGACGGTTGAGCTAATATTTACTTACTGTTAAAAGATTCTCCACATTCATTTCGATCTGACATAGTTCCCAGCATCCTGTCTCAGTACTACGGTAGAGTTGGGTGGGGGTGGATGCTGAGGGTGAAAACACAAACCCACACACACACACACACACACACACAAAAAAAAAAAAAAAAAAAACAAACAAAAAAAAAAAAAAAAACAATGACATTATCACATTAAAAATAGTAATTTTAAAATAGATTATAATAATACACTCTAAATGATAATTAAAATTAATTGTGGCAGTCACTTTGTCTCAAAGCCATTTTGTTAATGTTGAATTTAACTGAACTTAATCTTGTTCAATATAATATGTATTGGTGGCCAAATTTCCTATTCCAGTTTGATGTTGCAGGTTATCAAGCTGCTGGGCAGTAGGTCCATCTTGTCCAGATTACAGGTGTCCAGAATGGCGTACTCTGTCAGGACGGCCAGTCAGTTCCTCCACGAGAAGGCCTACGTTAACGGGAAGTGGGTGGATGCCAAAAGTGGGAAAAAATTTCAAGGTGATTTGACCCTAAGACATGGGTATAATGAAAACTATAGGGTGTTGTCTGTGTAGTGATAGTCCTGTATTCAGGTCCAACTGATGGACTCTGAAGTAAAGCCTAGGTCCCAACTGCGTTTTGCATGCACGGTTTTTTGGTTCCTTGATTCCGGCTAGGACGTAGCTTGATCGCACGTAGCGGCTGCTGAACATGTCGAAAAGTTTCTACGTGCTGTTTGCGTCCTCCAAAAGTCGCACGATAGACGTGCTCCTCACCCACGAACTCCTTCCCGATCCCTTCCATGCGACCTAGTTACCTCCTAGATGGACGCAAGGAACCTAAAAACCGTGTGTCCAAAACGTAGTTGGGACCTAGGCTTAAGAGACAACAACCTGCGTCTGGTTTCAACGAAAGTTTATTTTTGAAATGGCAGGTTTGTTAGCATGTATATACAGGTATTTATAATCAATTGTGCCAGAGGTGTATTCATTTCACATATGCATTTTATAAAATAAGTTAACAATGTTAAAGTCTGTATTATAATATGAGAGAAACTTTGATTTAGCATTAAATTTGATTGTTGGATGTTCATTGAATGTATGTTGAAATTGGGCATTGAAATTCAGTGTTGAAATTGGATGTTGAATGTTGACATTAGATGTTGAATGTTGACATTAGATGTTGAATGTTGACTTTGGGTGTTGCCATGTGATATTTTCCAGTGTTGAACCCAGCTAATGGGGGTCTGATGGGAAGTTGTCCTGACATGAATGCAGAAGATACGCAGCTTGCCATCCAGAAGGCGCATACGGCTTTTCAGTTCTGGAAGAAATCCTCTGTCAAGGTAAAGGTGGAGCCATTTTGTGGCATTTTTCTCTTCATGTCAGCACTTCTATTTTCCTCACTTTTTTCTTCATATCTTCTCTTCTGCCTTTCCACTTTTTCTGCATATACCATGTTACAGAAAAAAACTGAGAAATCAATTAACTGGAAGTAAAAGAACCTGTAGTGAAAAGATTTTTCACCAGGGGGTAGAATTATGATGAAAGAGCCTTGAACCCTATTAGCAGGGTTATTAGTTGCCTTAATAATTCTTTGTAATTACCAATGAATAAATTTAATGGCAAATGTAACAATAACTGCAACTGTAAATGAAATTCTTCCTAAAATTTGAGCTGAAACTGGATCAGTTGTGCACATTAGTATATTTAATGTGTATAATGTTTTAAGTATTAAAGAGTCAGGAATTTTGATTAAGATATGTCTTTCAGGAACGCAGTGCTGTACTGAGAAAATGGTTTAATCTTATGATGGAGAACCAGCAAGAGCTGGGAAAACTCATCACAGAGGAAATGGTAATATTGCAACTAGGACATTATGTCTGGGTATATAACATGATAATTATGATTATGTGTAATTTGATTGCTTCTCATGATATAAATTACAGGTATTGAATAAAGAAAACAACACTGATAGTCAGAATGGATTAGTACTGTTTTTAGTACAAATGGACATTTTTTCAAGCTGAAAATATAAGTTCAATTTATTTCATATCTTGTCTTAGGGCAAGCCACTGAAAGAAGCTATGGGGGAGATAGGATATGCAGCTGGATTCTTTGAATGGTTTGCAGAAGAAGCAAGACGCACATATGGTGACATAATTCCGTCTCCAGTGGACAGCAAACGCCTTCTGGCCATCAAACAACCAGTGGGCGTGTGTGGATTGATTACACCAGTAAGTTCATTGGTGATTTGGTATTCAAAGATTTGGTACTTAGCATACAGGCATGAAGCATAGTGTACACAGACCTTTGCCTGATATCTCAGTTGTGGTAAAAAATCATATATATTTTTGACAATTTATTTAATGTTTTTTTTTTTTGAAGTAAAATGGTGTTAGTTTGCCAACATAGAAGATACTTGTATAAATTTTTTGATGCTATACTTCTTTATGACATATTTATGGCATTAATTATGCAGAATATTCTGTCAAACCTTTTGAAAAGAATAAGGTAAGGGGTGTTGGAGAAGAAAAATTATAAAGTGCTCATTATCTCTGGATCATTGGCATGGGGATTAAATTACTAGTAAATTATCTTTGTATCATGTGTGTAAGATAGAATTGTAATGAAAAACACACAAAGACTAGTTTCTGTTGAAAATTCTTTGTTTTGGGATGTGACTAAACATCTTTATAATTTTCTTTTTCAGTGGAATTTCCCTTCAGCCATGATAACACGTAAAGCTGGAGCCGCCATTGCTGCAGGGTGTACTGTGGTCATTAAACCAGCAGAAGATACGCCATTTTCTGCACTTGTTTTGTGTGATGTATGTATGTATGTACTGAAGCAGGAGGGGAGGGTTGTTGTTACATGTATTAAGTTTGTAAAAGACATGACAGAAGCTGCCCATTTTGTTTTATGTAGGTTACAGTCAGTTTCAGAATATTTGTTATCAAGCCTTACAAATACACTAAAACAATCTGCCCTTTCTATATTATATGTTAGTAAGAACATTTGTTGCCATGTATATATTCCGCTCTTATTCTAACCTGGGTTAATCCAGTTATTTAAGAATGAACCTGTATGGAAGAATTATTAAAAATTTAATTACTGGATTTAAGTTTGTACAAGGCGTGCGGGAATAATTATCTATCAAACAAGCATCTTTCAAGAAGGAATTATGTCAACTATGTTAAGACATGAGTAGTTTATGAAGTTTACTTTTTTTCAGTTGGCAGAGAAGGCAGGCTTGCCACCAGGTGTCATAAATGTTGTCACATGTTCAAGACAGAACACAGTGGAAGTTGGGAAGGTGCTATGTGAGAGCCCTCTGGTGGCAAAAATATCTTTTACAGGTTCTACTAACACTGGGAAGGTAGTGTAACATATTTATGCATTTTTTATTGAAATAAATGAAATATGTAAATCCTGATAGAAAGATAGCAATAAGTAAATGATGTTAATTTTTTAATAAAAAAAGGAAAATGATTACTTACCAAAATATTTATTGTTTCCATTTTTCCCTTGTACCAACAGGTACACTTGTATGAAATAAAGCATATCTTATGAACGTTAACTTCAGTTGTCTCGCGTCCTATCAGTCAGTAGTTCTTTTATCACAGTCAATACATAGGGGCCTTAAAGAAAAGGAACATGGGAAATGGGTGAATTTTGATGCTGAGGTGACCCTGATTATGGAAAAGGCCTTGCATCCACATAACTAAAGTTGACCCATATTTTGGTTCCAGATTCTCTTACAGCAGTGTGCCAACACAGTAAAGCGCGTGTCTATGGAGCTGGGGGGCAACGCTCCCTTTGTGGTCTTTGACAGTGCAGATGTGGATGCAGCAGTGATGGGAGCAATGGCCTGCAAGTTCAGAGTTAGTGGCCAGGTGAGTGTGTTCACCAGGGGTATTGTGTTAGGTGTGACATTGTGTTAGGTGTGACAGTGTTTATTAATGTGTGTGGATGTGATAGTGTGTCAGGTATAGGTGAGACTGTCACCAAGGACAGTGTGTTAGGTGTGACAGTGTGTTAGGTGTGACAGTATATAATTTCAGGCTGTGTTAGGTATTGGTCATTGTGATTAAATTAGCTGAGGCACTTACCTTACCTAAAATTTTTCCAGATTTAACTGGTTAATAGTCCATTTGAATGCAGTGTTGCATTGGTTTTAAAACTGAAATGATTCTTGTTTGTAGTAAAAGTTGACAACTGAAAAGTTATCCTGAGGAGAAGCAGACGAAAAGTATGTTTAAAAGTTTTAAAAGACCAAATTGCGAATTGACCCCTGAGTTAAAAGTGACAGTATGATGGCATATCAGGCGATAATTGTTTACCCTCTCTTTACAGACGTGTGTGTGTGCCAACAGGTTCTTGGTCCAAGAGGGAATCTACGACCAGTTTGTACAGAAGCTTGGGGAGCAGATGCTGAAACAGCTAAAAGTGGGGGATGGGTTCTCCGAGGATGTCACGCAAGGCCCACTGATTAATAGTAAAGGTGTGGACAAGGTCAGTTGTCTTTTCTTTTCTTTTCTGTTGACTCTTTCACATACTTTGACTGTTCATGCTCTTTGTTGTTTCTTTGGATCTAAAAATGAAAATTTCCTGCCAACAGCTGCTGTATTTCTGTATTATTAGGTAGATGAACTGACCCAGGATGCAGTGTCAAGAGGAGCTCAGTTGAAGATGGGCGGGAAGCGACACTCAGCTGGCGAGAACTACTATGAGCCAACGCTCCTCACCGATGTCACGTCAGAAATGAGGTGCTTTAAAGAGGAAATCTTTGGTCCAGTGTCAGCTGTGATTAAGTAAGTGTGATTTCTAATAAAAGGTCCTTTTTGCATTTAATGGTACAGTTTGACTTATTCCAACACAGCTTTTTTTTTTCTACTTTATTACTTTTTTTAATTAGTTTAATAAGATCATAATAATACTTTCTGTTGGAACTGTGAACATGGCTTCATGTTTGTTATGTTTTCCAGATTTAGAACTGAAGATGAAGCCGTAGCACTAGCAAATGCAAGCTCCGTTGGCTTGGCAGGTAACTTCGCAATATTCGTTACCTTGAATTCTTCAGTGAGACTTAGAAGTATGCTACTAAGACTTGTAGGTGTACATTTTATACCCCAGAAGAAAAAGGTTGGAATTATAATAAAATGTTTATGGCATGTCATACTATCTAAATTTCTTTTTAGTGAAATATGTTTTATTGTTTGGTAAAATCCTATGACAGTTTTTTTTTTTCATTTTTCTTCACAAAAATGAATTTTTTGCCCCTTGATGCTTCAATGTCCATCAAACACCTTCATTAGTCAATTGTGACACCCAAATTGCGCTACTTCCATTTCGTCCAGACTTCAGAGTTAACCAATATTTATGCCACATCTTGTTAAAAGGCTTACTGTTTTTTCAGGTTACTTTTTCTCCAGAGATTTGTCTCAAATTTGGCGCGTAGCTGAGAACATGGAGGTCGGCATGGTTGCCGTTAACGACGGCATCCTGTCTACAGTGGAGGCCCCTTTTGGCGGCGTCAAGGAGTCCGGGATTGGGAGAGAAGGCTCCAAATATGGGATTGATGAATACATGAATATTAAGTACATTTGTATGGGTGGGATACAATAGAACTGAACTGGATGGCACACCCAAGCAATCACAGCTGGGCTGTCACAGCTAACACAATCAGGATGGGAAAAACTGTTGTGGTTTGTGCAACAGCAGCTTTATGAAAGAGTAAAATATTGAACTGGATATAAAAAGCTATGAAAGAATAAGACATTGAACTCGATATAAATATCATCCTTTACAGAGAGGAAAAGAACTTGTTTTACAAATGGTTTTTACTTTAAAATGGGGAAAGACAAGACCTTGCTGACCTTTGCCTCACGCTTGTTTGTGGAATCATAGTATCATCAGACCCCATGGAAACCTATTGAATGTGACCCAACATTTGTCTCTTATTGCTGTCAGTTATGCATTTACTCAATCATGATAACATTTTAGGGGTGAGGAATTAACTTTAATTTTACTAAAAAAAGTTTATATTTCACTTTCCCCAAGGAGCTTTGTCATTATGCATATCACGTTAATGCAACTAACAAAGACCTTTCAATATTTTTATAAAGTTTCCCAGAGTTTCATTTACACTGCTCCTTGAGTGCCAACATAAAATTGTTACAGTAGTGAGATCAGCTTTTAAATCTTTTTGTCTTTACCTTCAATCTCGTTCTTTTTGAGTGTTGTGGTAATGTGCCAATAATAGAGAGAGGTTCAGAAGAGATATTTTGGAACATTCCCCAACACGTATGCCCTTGTTAATCACAAAACCTATAATTATATAACTTAAAGACTATAATGCTGAAAAAAGCCCTCAGTATATAACTTTATTGAGTTCATAATGCCTGTATTACTATATTAATACATACCTTACAGAATACTCTACACAGACCTACTAATCCTCAATATATAAGCCTATTCTATAGTTAAACATATAATTCAAAGCAATAACTGAGCAAAAAGAATTCAAGGTAAAATATGTGAAAATGATGTGCAAGAAGCCAGCTTGCCTACAAGATATATCCATAATGAATGTAGATGGCCACTAGAAGTCCTATGGTGTACCCCATAGAAGGGCCAGTACAGTCAACATCTCAGAAACTCAACATGAAGTATGGCCCCCTTCCGGATTGGGGACTTGCTAGTCCAATGGTCAAATATGGCCGACCCACTTGAATACTTCCCCACGGGATATCTATTCAGTGTCTATTAGCGGATTAGACGGCATGCTTTGTAGTGGGTTGCCATATTTGACCCTTAGACTAGTTCTATTCTGAATGGCACCTATGACTTCAAGCACCTGTCTTTGTACATACTTCAACACACAGTATTGCCTGTTATCATCATGGTCCCTGGCTGGCCTAACATGGCACTGTAAACCTCCTGTCATGTGAAATCGTACACCACTAGAAGCACCCTGCTTAGTATAACTATTGCACAATGGATTCTTAATGAAAAGAATGATAAAATCTGTTGCATTTTTTTTAGTCTTTAAACATCTGCCTTTTTTTGTTGATATTCTGTAGAGACCATTTTTTTCACCAATGAGAAAACTGTACACAGATTTGTGCATATACCATCTGATGATAAAATTTCCTGCATGGAGCTGTAAAAAAAAAATCAAATTTCAGATTTTAATAAAAGGAAAAAGGGAAAAAATTGCTCTCTCTTTTAAATTGTCTTAATCTAAGAAACATGATTGTGGATTTCACAAGTTTGGATAAATTCAACATTTTTGTTTATCAAATATAGTTTTTGGGGGTTATTGAGTTGTAAATCACATGATTAACTATACTGTGTAACCTACTTAATATACTATGAAGTATTTTATGTAATATCATTTTATCAACTCAAAACATTTTGATGCCAAATCATTCCAACAAATACTTGGCCTGCAAACAAATATCTGTTACCTCAAACCAATAATTATTGAACTTCATTTCCTCTAACATAAAGTAGTTCAATATAATCAAAGAAAGCTTGATGCATTGTAACACCAAAAAATATAAGCTAAAAATTATAAGAAAATGAAAAAATGGATTTAATGCCCTATAAAACAGAGTCACTGTATAAGACTGTGTAAGTACTACTAACTGAAATGATGAAAATAATTATCTTTTAATTGATATTTCCAAATCTGTATCTAATTTTTAAATGAAAGCAAAGGTTCTTAATATCTTATACTTGTAATTTGAATAGACCTAAATTTGCAGTATAAAACGAGTCATTTTGCAAAAAAATCTGATTCTGGATTATAAAAAATTTGTGCATTAGATACATGAAATACAAATATCTTCAAATATTTACACATAATAAACATATCATACAATTCATCTCTCTCACACTGAGTGGCATACTTAAGTGTCACAGACTATACCAGAGCACTAACATGTAATTGCACTTCAGGAGGATTTACTTGCTTTTACAAGTTTACATAGTAATGTTTGAGTAAAAAAAACTGATAAATTGGTCATGCCAAGCACTTGGATCAGTTACACAATAACCAGGCTGTTAAGTTGTCAATCTCTCATAGTATAGTACACCAGTGGAGACTGTATGGCTTAGGTATACCCCTGGATGTGTCTTAGAACTAAAAGTATAACTAGAGGATCAGAGAGGCGATACCGCCTCCGAATATTGTACCACCAGCTGGAGCAAGCGCATTCGTATAGACCCCCACATATACAAAATAAGGAACACAGCCACCAGTCTTGTGCTTGCCAAGCTGTAAAAATTCAGTCAACAAGAATTTTCAAAATATGCAAAAAATATATATATAACTAAAAATGGTACAATCAAAGTTAAGTTCATCGTAAGGTAGGTCAACGGTCAATTCCAAGGTCACAGTAAATTGCCAGTATATGACTTCCTATTCAACTTCAATAGTTACTATGGGCCTATCTCTGCCAGGTTTGGAGTTAAAAGAAAAAGAAATTAGCAGAGTTCAGTTCATGATAATAAGTAGGTCAAAGGTCAATTTCAAGGTCACACTTAGATTGCCAGTATATGACTTCCTATTCACGTTCAATAGTAACTATGGACCTAT